TATGCATTTGTTTTGGCCATGCTTTCGTTTGGTTCGCTATAGACTGTCTTTGTACATTACATCTACGTAGGTGAGCTCTGAATTATACTACGACCATTATAAATAGTTGTCGCCAGAGCCACTGCTGGTACTGCAGCAATATACGCTGCAAGACCGGGGTTCAGTCGGAGGAGTCAACAGCGTTATAGACAGTGTTTGATTACAGATTACAGCAATGAACGCGGGGACGGGGGTCCCACAAATATACACTCCGTAGAAAACATAAAACATACGTGTTCGTATCGGTACCATGCAGCACTCAAGAAATCGGCGCGCCCGCCCTCCGCGCACAGGGCCGTCGATTATCGTTATCCTAGCATTTCCTCCCTCCCCCCATCCGTTCCTCTATACCGATCCGCAATTACACCATTTGGGACCCGACGCTCAATGATCCGCGTCGAATACAGTCTGCCCCGCCGCCGGATGGTGCACGGTGATGTGCTCGCCGGTCTCGGTGGGGACGTACGCCTCCTCGGGGAGCCCGGTCTCGTCGAGGCCTTCGGCGGCCTCGATGATCTCGTACAGCTTGGACGCGACCTCGGGCGGGGGCACGCGCCCGCTGAGGATGTCGCGCACGGGGATCGCGGACCCGTAGAAGTCGCGGTTCGCGTCCTTGCGCTCGATGAGCACCGTGCCCTCCAGCGAGAGACCCGCAAACAGCCCTGCAAGTCACGATCATGTTAGCATGAGCCCGGAGCCCGCATCCACAGCACGCGGAGGAATGCGGCAGGGAAGGTGCGGGAGGGGAGTACGCTGGACATACCCTTTGACTTGGAGTACGAGAACATCGGCGCAGGGTGCGCAAGCGACGCCTGCACGCTGCCGCCCGTGCCGATGGGGCCCGCGGCGGCGGACACATTGCCGCCGATCGTGACGTTGCCGCCCATGGAGAACGCGCGCACGGCGTCCTCGCTGTTGAGCACGACGACGAAGTCCGTGATGTCCGCGCCGATCTGCAGCCCCCAGCCGACGCCGCCCGTCGCGATGCACGACGGCGCGGACCACGAGCCGTCCGGGAGCCGCGCGATCACGATGCCCGACCCGGCTTTGCCGGAGAAGACGAAGCCTGCTTTGAGCACTTGGAAGATGGCGAGGCCTGTATGAAAGAGGGTTGGGTGGGTTAGGATGTGGGTGTGGACATGTGTATGGGTATGGAGAAGAAAGGAGGGAGCGTACCGCGGGCACGGCTGAGGACAGCCTTTGGTATTGAGTTGAGTGCAGATTGAGGGTTTTCGGGATCGGCTGATGAGCGATGTAAGCTTGAGGTGTTAGATACGAAGAGAGGTTGTCGGCGACGCACCGAGGAAGCTGGCGAGGATGTTGGCTGCCTTGTCGGCTTCGCCGGGGAGGCTGAAGCCCTGGGCGAGGCTGTGGGAGCCGGTGGCGACACGGCGCTGGCCCTCCTGGAGGAAAGCGGTCGCTTGTACACCTGCCTTCTGCGCGCCTTTTCGGAACTTATCGAGCATAGACATGGTGGGTTGTAGGAGTAGGGGATGGAGGGATGGAGAGTGCTTAGAGTCGAGAGCCGGACGTTACTGGCACGACTCGGCTTGTAACGCGTATGACGTACTCATATACACTCGTCCTTGGCAGATACTTGTTACCATCTCTTCTTCCTTCCCACATCTGCATGCTCCACAACTCAACTTTTCTATCATCACCACATTCTCTTGCTGATATCTAGGATTCTATCGATCATGGCAATACAGAACACGTCGGAAACCTTTCGGCATCACTTCCAAGCATCCGTTCTGACATTACTGCCCTTCATGCGCGTCACCACCTCGCGCGCAGGCTCTTCCTCCCAGACCACCTCCATCTGTCCATCATGTATGCGAATATACTTGTACTGAATAGCTTTGTTTGTCGGCAAGTCAACAGTCACTGCGCTCCCATCCTCAGGCGCTGTAGTCGTGAGACGCAATCCAAAATCACTCACCGCTCCAGGTCGGATACCTCTCAGCCGAGAGCTTCACTGCATTTTCTGCATTCCATGCCCCCAGCTCTCCTAGGTCTCCTACCACATATATGCTCTCTTTGTCATCCGTCAGCGACGCTTCTACCCCAACAATCGGACCAAGAGTCACTCACCTCCGACCTCTGTAAACGCCTTCACCTCAAACCTCACATCTACCGTACCCTCACCGCTCACACACACACTAGGCACATTCAGCCCTCTAGCACCCCACGCTCGTGTTACTCGCCCCGCCCTTGCCGCGAATGCCGTACCCGCTGCGGCATAGCTCCACGTCAAGTCAAACGCGCTCCGTGGCCGGCCGTCCACTCGCGAAAACTGCTCCGCAAGGCCCCCATTCTCCGGCGTATGTGCCGCATTCGCCGCGAGGAACGCATCTGCGTGCGTGCGAACTGCCGTGGTCAGCTGTGCGTACGTGCGTGAGGACGCGGGGTACGTTCCGACCGCAACGTCCGGTGCGAATTGCGCGAAGAAGGGAAGCGAGGTATGCGTGACGTTGAGCCCACCATGCGCGCCCCAAGTGAGCAGCGCGTCGTAGAGCTGCTCCGCAACGGCAAAGTTCGTCAAGTACCACGGCTTTCAATGCCCATCGACTTCATCAGCAAGCATCCCAACGCACGAAACAGCAGCACGACTCACATTCCCCAAGCAATCCTCGCACGACGACCCGTCCCACGTCGTGCCATCATACACATCTTCCGGGTACCGTCCCGTCGCGACCGTGCTCGCGTTGCGGTTCACGGCATACAGCTCGCGGAACGCGTCGACGAACACTTTCAGGTTCGCGAGTGCCTTGTCCGAGCACGGCTGGAACGTCGCTGCGTCGCACCCTGCTGCGATGTCCCACGTGTGGATTGCTGCGAGCACCGTGTTCGCGTCGATGCCTGAGCGCGTCGTCGCGCGCGGGTTCGCGGTGATGTGCCCCGCGGAGGCGTTCCAGTATGTCTGGCCAAAAACTCGGTATTAGAAGGGTGGGCGTGCTGAGAGAACGGCTGGCGCACCTGGAGGAAGCAGAGCGTGTTGTCCGCCTGCACCTCGTACCTTTCCGCCAGCGACGCGTCCTGCTGCAGCTGCAGCTCAACTCGACGCGCGAACGCGGCGCCCTCGCGCAGGGCGCGATGCTGCACGGCAGTCGTGAAGAAGGACGGGGACGCGACTTCCTCCCATAGGTCGAAGCTGCGCGCACGCCAGCCATTAGCCATTCCACAGCACGATTTTGCAAACGGACAGGGAAGAGGGACTTACGACCGCTGATCCCACGTCTCTGCGGCGTACTCCAGATCCTCGCGCACGACCTCCCACACGCGCTCCGCCTTCTCCTTCACCGCCTTCCCTTCCTCCTCGTCCGCGGTACTCGTGTTGAGCAGCCAGTTCGCGTACCGGATGAGCACGATCGCGCGCAGCGCCGGTCCGTCTGTAGCCGCACACAAGCATGATGCAGTTCAGCGCTGCGAAGACAAAGATAGAGAGCAAAACGGACCGCGCTGCGGGCGCCCCCACGCGCCCTCGTACGCCCTTCCATCAACATGGAACTTCGGCTCGCCCAGGCCCTCCGCGTGCGCACCACCGCTCGGGTTCGGCGTCGCCTGGAGGACGCGCTGCAGGGCTGCGTATTCGTCCAACCTTGTCTGCAAGGCCGTATTCGCGGAGGAATGGGTACGGTTGTAGGGCAAGAGCAGGACGAGCTCGTCAGAGAGCGCCTTGAACACGAGCGCGGCGTCGCGCGTCCAGGTGTAGAGGTAGTCCGGGTTCGCGGAGCTCGGGCTCGCGATCACGGCGCCTGCCTGTGTGCGGGTTCGCCCATTTCGGCGGGGATCATTCGTCGAGCCATACGGGGCAGGGATACAAGAGGGACGTACGAGTGCGCCTTGCGCCTTGGCCCCGCCCAGGACCCCGCCGATGTTGTCCAGCACGCCGCAGCGCGCGATGGGCGCTTGCCATGCGATGTATGCGTCTACTGAATTTGCGATTCCAGGTGCTGCGTTTGGGGATGGGTTAATGGGCAGGAGCGAGTTCAGGGAGGGGAAGCTGGGGAATGGGGAGGAGATGTTCAGGGAGGGGATAGAGGTGGGCACGGGCAGGTGCAGGAGCCGCAGCGCGGAGGCGGCGTACTGCGTGAGGAGGACGTCGATGCGCATCGCTGTCGGCAGCGACTTTGTGTGGGTCACTCGGTCGGAGAGGCAGGGTGCGAAGTGGGCACTCTACGTCTACGCAGGTGCGTCCCATATAGCCTCAGGCCTGAGGAGTGCCGTCATGGCCGTAGCCGTGGTCAGCAAGCACTAGCTTTAGCACCTACGGAACTACGGCGCACTCTAACTTTCTCGTACACGTCTGTGGCGCTCCGACGTCGCCTATGACGTCCGGTTGAGGCCCTCACTGCACCGTGGCGGGCTTATCTGGGAAGGTAGGGTCTAGTCTGGGGCGTAAGTACGGCATATACGTCTATGTCAGCGATGGAAGCCTGCCTGGAGGCTGAGTGTGGCGCTGGTAAGATACGGATATGCGGGATTTGTATGGCGGTACCGGTACCTACTAGGTATTGGCCTAGAAAGGAGGACGTAGAGGATGTATACACCGCATCACTGGCGAAAATAAAAAATACACACTTCATTGTTGGCTGTGGAGGGGCAGTCATGAGGACTTGGATTATGCGAGACTAGCCATGAGCCATGCCTTGAGAACTGGTACAGACCACGGGTCAAATAATGGTATGAAATTATCCGGTCTATTCACAGCACCTGCATATGCATCGCCCACCCTTATACATGCAACAGCCCGTTTGTCTCAATCCCAAGAGCTCCCTCCAACCAACCCGTTCTTTAAAATGCAAGATGGCTCACGAAAGGCTCGCGCCGCAGACGTTGCATGCAGCTGGGTCAATGCGAACACCCGCGACGCGACTCCCTTCCTACTCATCGTGATTGTTACAGTATTTTTCCTTCTCTCCCCGCGTCAGTGTGGAAAAACCAAGGGGAGGAAAAAAGATGGGCTCAATCGGGAATTGAACCCGAGACCACTCACATCTGATTACATGACGAAGCACGTAATGGGCTTGCACCCGAAGCGAGTATCATACTACTAGACCATTGAGCCATGTCCTGTTAGCCAGGATTACTAATCGTATCAAGTACTGCGCCCATCCGGGGCTGGTTGAAAGATTTGAAGTTGCTCGTGGAGAGTTCTTGTCCTCATGCAATCGACTGTGAAGACGTAAAATCAAAACTGGTATTCAATTTACAGCTCCTAGATAGCACTCCCATTCCAAAAGCAAAACATACAACAACCGGTACCACAACCGCAATAACACTCCATCCAATAACACACGAATAAAACAAAAACACAAGACAACATCCACTGAAACAAACTTACACTCCCCAACCATTTCCAGTCTTTTTACGACCGTAGCCAAGCCCAGCAGAGCAGAGCTCAGCGCCAGGTATCGTTCTCGGTAAAGCTGCCGCTCGCGGGCGTCGTGAGCTGCATGTTCGGGTCCGACTCCCACGTCACCTGGCCGTTGAACTTGCGGATGTACTTGTACTGCACGGACGTGCTCGCCGGGAGGTCCACCGTGACTGCACCACTCGTCAGCACATGCATTTCCATCAAGGACTAGAAGGGGGGAGGGGAAGAACGCACTGCTCCAGGTGGGGTAGTTCGCGGCCGATAGCAGCAACGCGTTGTCGGGGGACCAGTTCTCCAGCTCGCCCACGGAGCCCGTGAGGTAGATGTTTTCTGTCGCGCCGCGTCACGTCAGCACCATGCAGCACCTAACGCACACAGCGAGCACGTACCGCCAAAGACCGTCGTCGCCTGCACATTGAACGTGACCGACACAGTGTCGCCTCCGCCGCCTCCGCCGCCGCTACCGCCGCTGCTGCACGTGCTGGGCACGACCAGCCCCTTCGCGCCCCAGCTCGCCGTCGTCGTGCCCGCCCGCGCGCCAAACGCCGTCAGCGCGGACGCATAGCTCCACGTGAGGTCGACCGCACTGACCGGCTGGCCGTTGCTGCGCGAGAACTGCTCCGCGAGCCCGCCGCCCGAGGGCGTGTACTTCGCGTTCACGGCAACGAACCCGTCCGCAAACGTCTTCGCCGCGGCGGTGAGCGCGGTGTACTCGGCGGAGCCCTTCGCGTACGTCCCGACGGCCGCGGACGCGTCGAGCTGCTGGAAGAACGCGAGCGACGTGCTCGTGACGTTCAGCGCGCCGACCGCGTCCCACGTGAGCAGCGCGTCGTAGAGCTGCTCCGCGACGGCGAACGTCGCGAGGTACCACGGGTTGCCGCCCTGGTAGCTGTCCTCGGGGTAGCGCCCCGTCGCGACGGCGGCGGTGGCCGCCGCGCCCGCGTTGATCGCGTACACCGAGCGGAACGCGTCGACGTACACCTTGAGGTTCGACAGCGCCTTGTCCGAGCACGGCTGGAACGTCGCCGCGTCGCACCCCGCGGCGATGTCCCACGTGTGGATCGTCGTGAGCACCGTGTTCGCGTCCTTGCCCGAGCGCCCGCCGCCCGTGTTCGCGGTGATGTACCCCGCGGACGGGTTCCAGTACGACTGCAGGAAGCATAGCAGGTTCGCGGCCTGCGTCGTGTAGGTGCTCACGACGGACGTCTGGTTGAGCCGCGTCGCGAGCGCGGCGCCCTCGCGCAGGGAGCGGTGCTGTACGGCGGTCGTGAAGAAGGACGACGAGTTGACCTCCTCCCACAGGTCGAATCTGCACGTGTGCATGCGGTCAGTGGGGCGTCATAGGAGGCGGAGGACGCGACGTACGTGCTCTGGTTCCAGTTGCTGGCGACGTATCCGAGGTCGAGGGCAATGATCGGCCAGAGGGTGCTGCTAACCCAGGTGGTGTTGCCGTTGTCCAAGAGCCAGTTCGCATAGGTAATCAGAGCTGTCGCGCGGAGCGCAGGTCCATCTGCGAACAAGCATGAGCCGACGCGTCGCGCGTGTGCATCACACTCTCAACGGCTTACCGCGCTGAGGGCGGCCCCACGCGCCGGTAAAGGCGGTCTCGTCGACATTGAACTTGGGCTCGCCGAGACCGCCAGAGCTGACGGTGCCGCTGGGGTTGGAGACCTGCTGGATAATTTTCTCGGCGTTGACAAAGTTGTCGATCTGGCTGCGGAGGGACGTGTCCTGGCCGAGGGTAAACTGGTCGGTGATGGCCTTGAACACGAGCGACGAGTCGCGCGTCCAGGTGTAGAAGTAGTCCGGGTTGGTTTGGCTCGGGCTCGCGATGACCACGCCCGACTGCACGCAGATGCATAATCATTAGTGGGCAACGAAGCGGACGTGGACGAGCGCACCTTCGCGCCCTGGGACTTGGAGCCGTCGGGGCCAATGTTGGCGAGGAGGCCGGCCTTGGCGATGGGGGACTCTGTCGCGACGTACGAGTCGACGCTGGTCTGCGCAAGAACTTGGGTAGCCGCGCCGAGTGCGGCGGCAAAGTGGACGAAACGCATGTCGTGTGGATCAGGAGAAACAGGCGAACAACGCGCTGGTTCGATTGCTACCTGGTCTGCAAGGGTATTTATACGCGGAGGTGAGGTGAGACTGCATGAGTGCGCGTGGACGCGGACGGCGAAGAGGGCGAGGGGGACCAAGGACCGCATGCGTCGGGAGCACGAGGACGAGAATCAGATGCGGATGGTGCGCGGCGTCGGGCGCGATCACCTGATCGTCCTCCTCGCGTGCTCGTCTCCACCCCTCCCAGACCCATTCGTCCGCGGCGGTACATCGATGGGTACAGAAGCCACGGCGCCAGCGCGCCTGCGAAGCCTCGGACATGGCGGGCTTGACGAAGTTGCCAAACTGCCCTGGGGCGGGCTGATTGCTGGGGCGGGCGGGATGGATATGGGATGATGACGGGAGCAAAGGGCGTCGCGAGGGCATCGGTGCGTCGCTGGGACCGATGCGACCTTCGCTGGGCCATCGTCCATCTTGGCTGCCCACGCGAGGATTTTGGGCGGTCGTCTGCGCATTATGGAAATTGTGCGTTGATTTGTTCACACCACGACCGTCTCTCGGATGCTCCTTCGGGGTTCGGGTTGGGTTTTTGTGCTTGTGGAGGCCAGAGAGGTAATATTGGGTGCCGTAAGAAAGGGCGGGGAGTGGGCTGGTGACCATGTTGTTATTGCAGCAGACGGGCATTGCGAGCTATGGCCGAGTACGCACGCGAGCTGTCGGACATACGTTCCTTCGTAGCTCGGGACCGACAAGCTTGCTTCCGTTCCAAGCCAGCACACGTCCCGTCCGCAACTAACCGAGTTTCTTCTTCTTCACGTATCCCAGCTGCCGCCTTTGGGCCCTCCTGTGTCGCGCCTAGGAATGTACGATTTGCGCGGCATTGTTGGTATTTCCTTGTGGAAAACATGGCAGAGCGTGCGCTGCGGTGGAATGGAACGGAGGAAGCAGGAATCACAGAAGGACACTCATTGGGCAAAGTCGTTGCTACAAGGCGCCGCGATCAGCCGCGGAGAGGCCTAGTTGCAGTGAAGCGCACAGGCATGTTTTCCGGCACAAGTTTCTGGAAAACGTGGGGGGTGCATGGAGAAGGATGTCAGAGGTGACGGAAAGGAGGATGTGCGAGCAGTTAGTCGAGCAGTTAGTCGACACGGATCACATTTACCCTGGAACCAGCGGCGTAAAGATGTGTGAATGGCCGCGATAGGCGGGTCGCGGTCTACAACGAGCGTTCTCGAAAGGCGCAAGCACGGCGTCTGTCAGTACTGACATCAGTGCAGCCGGCGCGGGGCTGACTCGCAGACAACTCCCAGCGCAGTCACGATTGCTCACAGCATCCTCTCTCCGACATACAAAACACGCATGCTCGTCTCACCGTCCTGTGCTCGTCCGCACCGAACCAGCCTACTACGACACTGCGCTGCGTAATTTCTGCGCCCTTTCTCCTACATACTGCTCACCTGACGTAGTATACTCCGACCCGCCTCGGCGCGAGATCGACATCGTATATAACTGCCACAACCACCCGTGCAGCTATCGCCCACTCCACCACCATGCAGCTCAACGAGCTCCCCACCGAGCTCCTGCTCATTATATTTTCCCTCGCCTGCACCGGCCCCGATACCTCCACCGCTCGCGCCCTCGCGCTCACCTCCCACCGCATCCGTGCAGTCAGCGCGCCTTTCCTGTACCAGAAGCTCGTCCTCGCCGGCCTCCCCGCGCTTTCCGCAGGCCTCTCACACCTCCTGACTCTGCCCGCGCGCAACCGGCACGTCCAGCACCTCTTCCTCAGTGACAAGCCCGCACCGCCCGCGCCCGAGGACGAGGCGGAGGCCGCCGCGCTCTCGCACGACATCGAGTCCGTGTACGCCGTCGCGCGCACGGAGCAAACACACGACGCAGACGCGGACGAGGCCGCGCTCTTCCCCGCGCTCGCGGACGCGCTTCTGCGCCTGCTCGCGCCGGACTTGCAGACGCTCACCGTCGTCGTGTTCAACCCGCTCCAGAGCGAGCTCTTCGCGCGCCTGCTCGCGGTGCCCTTCCCGCGCCTCACCTCGCTCGCGCTCCGCCTCTCCGAGCAGCGCCTGCTCCTCCCGTCCTTCTCCCGCCCGCCCTCGCCGTCCGGCTCGCAGTCCCCACCGCCGTCCCCCGCATCCACCACTACGTCCTTCTCCACCTCCTCGCACTCCTCCTCGACCTCCACGGACGATGACCTCGCCACCGCGCCCGCACTCGCCCCCCACATGCCCGCGCTCACGCGCCTGCACTTCGCGTCCCCGCGCTACCTCAGCAGCAGCGCCGCGCCGCTGCTCGCACTCTTCACGTCCTCCTGCCCCGCGCTCGCGCGGCTGCGCCTGTCCGACCTGCGCCTGATGCCCGGCTGCGCCGCGACGCTCGCGCGCATGCTCGGGCGCCTGCCGCTGCGCGACCAGTACGGCTGGCTGCCCGCGCCCGCGATCCTCGCGCGCGCGCCGCGCCTGCCGCTGCACGTGCGCCAGCTCGTCGTGCAGCTCGAGCGCACGAGCGCGAAGAGCGAGGCCGCGCTCGTGCAGCGCATGGCGGAGATGCAGTATGGGGATGGGCTCGTGCTGCTCGAGGCGAGGGCGCGCAGGGGCTTCGAGGAGTGGGTCGGC